TTTTATGAAGGACAAATGCAGAATAAAGTTTTGCCTCAAAGTTTATTCAATTTCTTGTAGATACTGAAAGAAGAGATATCATTAAATTATTGAGACCTTGATTTATGTATGTGCGTGTGTGTGTGTGTTTTGTGCTGCCCCTTCATGTTTTTATATAATTTTAGGTGATCATTTAATGTGGTTATAATATGAAAAAGAAAAAAATAAAAATAAAAATTGGCTTGTTTGCATGGTACATAATTGAAATATGCCTTTTTAACATAGAGAAATGTTACGGTCCCGTTATGGAACCATTCCGTCGAAATTTATAACCGTTATCAACTTTCCCCGACGGTTACATTATGATCTAACGGTTACAAACCCCGACAGGATAGTTCCGTAAAGAGACTGTAACATCTCTCTTTAACATAATCTTTTAAGATAATAGATGACATAAATGATATGTAAGTATAAAAAAAATGATATTTTTAATATTAAAATGGGTGTAATGTGTAAAACACAAAATGTTAGTGGCTAGTGCATATGTATTATATTAAAGGTCCATAACAAGAGCATTATAGAGATGTTTCACCGCGAGGAAACGAGTGGACCGTATGGGGGGCTTATTCGGGCCGTTCGGGATTTGTTGGGTCGCTCATGGAGGACTGTGCTCGTTCATGACTATCGTGAATCTAATTTTGTGGGAGATTTTATGGCCTCGGTGGCGGCTAAGGGGCCGGGTAGTTTCCATCGGTTTGATAGACCTCCTAGTGGGGCGGGTTTGTGGTTACAGCATGATGCGACTGGCGTCGCCCATCCTCGCCAGATCGTGATCTAACGACAATGTTAGCGTCATTCTCTTCCAGTACCAAAATAAAAAAGAAAAAAAATATTAATTACGTCGACTACTATATTAGTATAGCATGATTGGTACATAATTAGCTGGAACTTGAAAGTCCATCGTGATTAATAACTGGTCCCAATTCTATTATTATGCTCACAATAAATGAAAGCTACAATTTGTTGAATGTTGCAAAATACAGATGTAATGGTGAAAAAATATACTTTAATTATATAATGTGAAATATTTTTTTGCAATTTGTACATGTTTTTTAGACTTTTCAATGTATAATATATTATTAATTTTTAGTAAAATGTCATATGAACTTCACGATGTTCATAATTTTAAATCTCTTGTATATCAGTATGATCATATACATAAATTTCATGTTTTATTCATGTATGGACTTATGTATAAACTTCATATACTCTACAAACATGTCATAAAATAAAAATATTGGAAATTACTGCAGTCCCGTTGACGGAATGGTTCCGTCAATATTGGTTACCGTAGATTATCCACACAAGATAATCTTTATGTGTATCCAATGGTGTAAACACTGACGGTACCATCCCGTAACGGCACCTTAGAATTTTCCAAAAATATTATTTGGACGTGCCATGCAAATTTATATATTTTAAACTTTTATATCAAAATGGGGTACTTAAAAATGTAAAATTATATGATCATTGAAATTTCGTAAGTCTGATTGCTAGACAAATCTAACGGTGACATCAATATTTTTTTAACAGATTTATCTACTTTTCAATTGAAATGTTATACTCTGAAAAAATATCAATCGAGATATATCACATTTCATAACACAACTATATAGTTATTTGTGAATGAAGTATGACAGCTTAATACACCTAACATTTCGGTTAGCTCACACAAGAAATTGTGTTTGAAAAATGTAGGTGGACTCCTACATATTTAATGAGTACATCTAACAATTAAGTCACGAGTGTAAGGTACCATTAATTATTGCCACGCATATAAATTTCTACACACACATTGTACTTATCTTTTATATAGGGACTAGTTGCAACTTGCAACTGTTAATTAATACTCCCTCCTTTTTTAAATAAATATCGTTTTGACTTTTTTGATTCATCCATTTTGCTATGTATCTAGACATATTAATGTCTAGATACATAGCAAAATAGATGAATCAAAAAAGTCAAAACGACATTTATTTAAAAAAGGAGGTAGTAGTTCATATTTCACTTCAATTTATTTTGGTCTTTATTATCCATCAACCTCATATCTTTGAATGCTTATTTCAACATGCATGTTAGTGATTTAACATGTGGTTAGAGTAAAAATCGATAATCTAATTAACTAATGTGCTGGAACCCTTAGTCAGGGTCAATCAATTAGATATGAACTCTGATCTATCTGAGATGCTCAGAATGACCTGTAAAAGAGTCGGGAAGGACCCCGACATTAGCACTCTAACGCCCAAATTAACACAGAGAATAAGATGGTGATGATCTGTTCAGTGTGTGTGTGATGTCTCTGCTCGAGCCTAGCTGTTACCGCCTCCTTAATCATTTTTTGCAGCTCGTTCTGAGTGAGGCTAATGAACTCGTCATCAGCTCGAGGTTGATGCATCTGATATGGGGTCTCCCTTCACGCCTTAGCGACCCTCCATTATTGCCTTCCCCAACTCGAGCTTCATCCCTAGACTTTTGCTCCTCTTTAATGGGAGATAGTTATGGAAACTGACTAGTTCCTTCCTAGGCCAACACCTGAATTTTTACCCTCGGTAGGGTGACCCAAATGGCGTGCACTTAGTAGCGCGTGCCACTGAAATGACATGCACTCAGCGGCTCGTTACCACTCAATGACGCCAATCCCACCATAGACATCATAGGTTTGAGACTAGGAGCCATCGAAGATCGCCTATCCGTCCACGTCCCTCTGAACTCTTCAGTCAAATTCTTTGTATATCCTCTCTGTCAGCCATGTCAGATAATCGTTGGGTAGGAAGTTCTTAGTTCCTTCAAAAGATTCTCACAGACGACGCCAAATAATGCTTCGAAACCCCGAGTCAAGGTTGAACTGGTTGGATATGAATTCCAATCTGCCTGAGCTGCTCATAATGACCTACAAAAAGGCAGGGAGGGACTCTCGGCATTAGCACTCCAACGCCCAAGTTAGCACAAGAAAGAAGATGGTGATGCTCTATAATCAAGGACCGTGAATAATGTATGGAGAATGTAGAGTGAGTTTGGGTGGGCTTTAATCGCTTTTATAGAAAAATACCTCCCCAAAATAGCATGCACGGGTTTGATTCTGCTTAGTGTATCCTTATTCTAATCATGTCCTAGTCACCATTAGATTCCTTCTTATCCTCATAAGATTGTTTGTTATCCTTACTGACTTGGTTGGTAGTGTCCATTAGGTCGTGTGTTGATAGCTTAGCTATCACGAGATCTTTAGGGGTTTAGGTTGTCCAAGTCTTCAAGTCGTCCAATGGCCAGGTCGTCCGAGGGTCTCAGAGTCATTCCAGTGTAAGAACTTCAAGATCTCTAGGTCGTTCATATTTCTGGTCGAGCTCCTCATACTTGGAGTATTTCCTGTTGGTACTTATTGTTTTATCACTAAGTGTTAAACTTGTTTTTAGATTGAATGATATTCTCCCAACATTTTGCCCTCCTATTTATTACTTTGTAAATTATTGTAGTGTATAGTGAATCTAAGTCTTATTAGTTTAGTGATTTTTATGAATCTATTCCAAAATAAATTTATTTACCACTTCCGAACTATATTGAAGTTTTGAGATAAAAAACAAACATATTCCCAAATTTACAAAACAAAATATGATTATAGTTTTGAGAGAAAAAACAAACATATTCCCAAATTTACAAAACGAAATATGATTTTTATTTCAGTTGTAATTTAAAACATGATTTATAAAGTCGAAACACGAACTTAAATTTCAGTGACTAGTTAATGATATGTCTAAAATTATAGTTTATATAACTTGTACTACTACTATATAAATAAAGAATAATTCCAACTCTTACAGTACATCATTGTAAATTTAAGTGCTTTGAATTTACCTTTCTAAATTTATTATTTTCCTCGATTTAATGAGGTAGTTTGAGCGAACATAATTGAATTTGATTCAAATTTGATATTTTCTAACTTACGTATAAAGTATGTGGTATATAGTTGTGTTACATTTATATTTTATTTTAATAATTTTTTTTTTTTCATCTACTTTGCAAATAGGGAAAGTTGAAGTTCTTAATTATATTAGTATGTGACATTAATTTCAAAATACATAAAATAAACTAAAATTGTAATTTAGTTAATAAAATAAAAAATTTGTGCTTAAGATTGTACTTAAAAGAAAAATCGATGATTCATCATTTTGCAAATAACCCAGTATTGATTCATCATTTTGCAAATAACCCAGTATTGTTATTGGTCAAATGATTTGGGCTCTTTTTAAATTTATCTTAAAATCAGGGGCTAAAAAGAATTATGTGATTTACTCCCACTTCGCTATTCTCGCAGTTCTTACTACCAAATCATCTTGTACAGTCTGCAAATCATTCCTACTCTGGTATGCACTCAAATTATCCATCCTAAATACATTTTTGCTGATCTATGTTGTGCGCGTGTTGTGTACGTACAGACAGACCCCCCTTTTTCTGTCAGGAAAAAAAAATTCGATCTTTAATTTTTCATATGGTTCATTTGTATTTCGATTAAGAATTAGGTTAATTGAATGTGTAATTTTCTGGGAAGCTGTTTCTTGTTTATCTCTGTAAGAATGCATGAAGAAATAATTCGTAATTGTGCCGATGATAAGCTTTGTTTGAGGGTTTGTGAAGGAATTGCAACAGCTCTTTTTTACTTGTTGATTCGGATATTGTTGTTCCAGACATGTTTGTTATATATCGGTTGTTCGTAGAGATTTAGCCCTACTTTTTGGGAATGTTACGAGTGAGCTTGTGTGTAAGTTCAGTAAGTTATTGTCTCGCCTTCAAGGTGTTCGACTGAATGACTCTTTTTTTTCTTTTCTTGAAATGATATTATTATTAGGCCCGACAATGTTTTTATTTTGTGTTGTGTTTGTTTTTGTTGTATTTTGTTGTATTTTGTTGACAATTTCTGAAACTTGCGGTATCATGGATTGCAGATGGTTTGATATTGTGGATTACTTATTCGACTAAACGACTTTAAATATTATTATTATTTTTTTTTTAATGAAATGCTTATTATTGGACATGGCAACGATTTTCTTCTACCTTTGTTTTAGTTGTAGGTTCTTGTTAAGTTCTGAAATTTGTGCAATCATGGTTTGCAGATAGTTTGATATTGTGGATTACTAGAGCCTTTATTCGATAATCTTTTACTTGGAAAAAAATGGCGGGATGGCAGAGACATTTGCAATCATTAGTACGTCGTGTCGTCAAAAAATACGAGTGCAGTGGCACAGCTTCATGCTGTACTTTTAGTCATGCAAAGGCTGGTATTGTATCCGGTAATTTGCTATTTGAGTTCAATAAGTCTTTTATCTCTTCCACTATATATACAATTTTGTCAGATATACTTTCCAATATTCTTCCTATGCACCATCTGGACGTGTACTTTCTACAAAGTTAAACTGTTGATTAATAATGAAACCTTTGCAGGTGAGGTGCCTAGTTTGTCGAGGCCGCATAATTCGCAAGTTCCTACAACTATGAGGCCTCTGTACCAGTATCTACAGAAAATGGTCAGACCATGAGAACCTTGACATTTTTTTTACTCAGAAGTTGCTATTAATATAATTATGTTTGGCATAGTTTCTTAGGAATTGGTTGAAAGTGAAAATAATTTAATTGGATGTTTGCAATTAAAACAACCTTTTTTAATGGGCAACTCGTACCATTGTGTTCGAACTCCATGTACGTGATGAGTCGAAAAATTATATTTTTATGACTAATGTGATGTAGAGTTGTAAAATCCCTCTTTATTTGATTGGATTTTGAATAGAATGCTTGTTTTACAGATGACTGATTGTATATTTTCCTCTTCAGCCTTTACTTGACTAATTAGAGAAAAAAAATCGGCAAGTGATCAGTTTTGTTTTAGTATTTATTTTTTCTTTCTTGAAAAAACCTATGCTTGACAGGAGTTCACAAGCACAAGGAACTTACTTGCAGACTCATCAGATGCAACTACTCCAGTTTCTTCACCGTTGATACCAGCTCTACCCTCGGGTGCTGGTAGCACTGAAACTCAAAAGACCATTACTAAACCTGAAAAGGTTCAAGCGATTCTAAAAAATATAAAACAGGTAATTCTCCATTATATTTTTAACCGATGCAAAAGCTCGTGAAACTCATTGTTTAGGAGTTTTAGTAGCTAATAACTCGATTCAATCTTGCTTGGTGTTTGCGACTGTCCCACTATATAGCTTTGAATTTATGGCCATTGGGAAGATTAGTTCATCCATGTTAATTAATAATAAGTTAATTAGCACAATTTGCCAAGAATCTAATGTAGATTCAGGAAATCGTGTTGAGTGGCTGAGTTATCTCTTGGAGGCTGCGTGTTCTTGACTGATTGTCGACTATGATAACTATAACTCTAAATGTCCAAAAAATATTGTTCTAAATGTTGTCTTTTTTTCTTTAAAAAAAAAAATAAAAAATATCAAATTTATAACACATGGTTAATTTCAGAGTCCTAAGAAGGTGAACTTGGTTGCTGCCTTGGTCCGTGGAATGCGAGTCGAAGATGCATTGTTGCAGGTGCAAGTGACAGTTAAAAGAGCTGCTAAAACCGTCTATCGGGTTGGTTTTCTTTTCTACAGCTTCAAGTAAAATTCCAATTCAGTGATGTTCTTATTTCTCTCTTAGCTTCATGGCCTCATGTACAGTTGGCTTTGACATTTTTTTCAGAAACAGCAGTACATTATTAAGGGGTAGAAAGTTGTTGCTTTTTAAAAATTAGGTTTTTCATTATTTTAGCTAGATAATTCGAACCTCTTTGTTTTTTGCATTAATCACGTCCATTCTCCATACATGTAAAATGAAATTACATGTATGCAGGTCATACATTCAGCTCGAGCCAATGCAACACACAATTACGGATTTGACCCTGATCGTCTTCTAGTTGGTAAATAATTATAAGTTACTATTATTATTATTTTCTTTCATGTCGTCTGTAATAACACAGTCAACACTGCTTCTCATTTATCTCAATTTTTTTTTTCAATAGCCGAGGCGTTTGTTGGGAAAGGGCTGTTCAAGAAGAGGATTTCATACCACGCCAAGGGCAAATGCGGGATAAAAGTGCGGCCAGAGTGTAGGCTGACTGTAGTACTTCGAGAGATAACGCCAGAGGAGGAGGCCGAGATAGCCAAGTTGAAGGTGAGAAATTTCCGCAAGCTGACCAAGAGAGAAAAACGGCTCGTGCCACATAAGCTCATCGAGACCACCCCAGTATGGGACCGCAAGGGCAAAGCCAGAAGGCATGAGTCGAGCGCTATGGCTATTTGAGCTGTGTTATTTTTCATTAGGCATGTCTTGGTAGAGTAGTTTTTGCTGTGATATCAAAGGACCAAAGATAGCATATTTCATGTTCTTTTGTTATCTTCACAGTACTGCTGCTTGTAACTGCCTTTTGACCCAACTATCACTTCGATAATGTACGATGCTGGTGATGTTCTCATCGAGTAGTTTTTTCGACTGAAAAAAGTTGTGTTCTGCAGAGTATCATTATTGGTGTTTTGATGCTTGTAGTTTTTTTTTTTTTTTTAATGTTTTTATACTCATAGTTTTAGTCATGATGGATTGTGAACGGTAAAAATTAAACTAGTCGGGGGCCTAGGCTGTAAACGAGCTGAACCAAGCTTAGCTCGAACTTAGGGTGCCCATGCTCGAGCCTTTAAAGAGCCGAGCTGAGCCGAGCTTGGCTCGTTGAATAAACGAGTCAAAAATCGAGTTCGAGCTCGGCTATCACTGTTATCGAGCTGAACATGTAAAAATTCTCTTGAGTCTTATCGAGCCAAACTTTGACCAAACGAGATTTAAATGAGCTCGAGCTCGGCTCGAGTTCGGCTAATTAAGGCCTCGAGCTCGAGTTGAACTCGAGCCGAGCCAAACTTGTTTAATTTAACCGCAGTAGCTGTGCCACACTAATCTTGATTATGTTGCTGCTGCCAAGTAAGCTGCTCGTGCAGGCGATAAATTGTGAGAATCACCAACACCAGATTTAGAAGCAGAAAGCAGAAATAACTCACACAAAAACAAGCAAGAACAAAACTAATATAAGCCGACGGCCATATTCTACAAACAAAAATAGTATAAAAAAAACTAATAGTAACACGATTAAAGTCTTTAGTACTAAAGCCTTCAGTACAAACTTATAAAGCTTTCTTCAACCAGATTCACGTTGTCTGGTAATCTCGATTCCCAAGTAATCAACCTGCCCTAGCACGGCCACATGAGGCTTCCCCACCTGCACACGCACGGCCGAGACCTGCGGGTACTTGCTCAGCACTGCAGATGCAATAGTTTGAGCCACAGATTCCAGAAGGTTATGCGGAGTCCCCTCCACAACTTCTCTAACTAGGCTGCAATTTCGCACCGCAAATCGACATGTTTAGTTGCCATGTAAACAAACAAAAAACAAAAACGACACAAAATTTAAACTTAATCAATGCTGCTATTTCGCACCGCGAATTAACATGCTCAGTTGCCACTTGCCATACAAACAAAAAAAAAANNAAAAAAAAAAAAAAAGGACACAAGATTTGAACTTTATCACGATTCCGCTAACCATGCTGTGATTTTGCAGAGTGAAACAGCATGCTCAATTGCCATACAAACAAAAGGCCAACACAAGATTTGAACTTTACCACGATTTCACAAACCATGCAGCAGTTTCGTACGCGAATCAACATGCTCAATTGCAATAGAAACAAAAAAAGAACACAAGATTTGAACTTTATCTCACAATTTCACTTACTATGCTGCAATATCATCGCCCTGCGAATCAGCAGGCTCAGTTGCTCTAGAAACAGAAAACCAAAAAGATTTTTACTTTATCACGATTTCTCTATGCATAAATTTCGCACCGCGAATCAACATGCTTAGTTGCCATAGAAACAAAACCAAAAACCAACACAAGATTTGAACTTTATCTCACAAGTTCACCAACTATGCTGCAATATCGCCCTACGAATCAGCACGCTCAATCGCCATAGAAACAGAAGTCCACAACAAAATGACCGTACTTATCAATTTGTATCTCAACTCGAATGCTTTCGAACAAAATGGCGCAGACAAACTCCAAAATCCCATTCATAACAAATTTAGGCTACTACTCCCAAAGCTCAAACCAAGAATGTAGTATCAAATTACGCGAACAAACCGACTCACATGTTACTCGCTTACCTATATATGGCCGTGTAGCTTATGGTATCCGAGAGAGAATCGGAAATTCCGGCAGCTTGAAGATCCATCCAAGCATCCACATCAATCAAGAACTTCTGCCCTAATTTCCTCTCCTCTGATTTCACTCCATGGTACCCATGGAACTTAAGACCCCTTAACACCAGCTTGTCCCCTTTAATCAATCCTCCATTATCCACTGTTATTACCATTCATCAGCACAAAACTCAAGAAATCAACACCTGACATGGGCTTTTTCCCCCAATTCCATTAATTTTACTTCAAATATATACATATATAAACAAAAAAGAAGAAGAAATCGGCTCAAGGACTTTGAAGGGCTTGCGATGAAATACTTCAATTTTCAATTTACGCCCCATTCATGGGCTTAAGAAATAGTTCAATTTCAGAATAAATTAATTTTTTGTTCATGTGAGGGTGCGTCGGAGAAAGCGGAACTAACCGGCGCCGGAGGATGCCATGAGATGGTGCGCCGGACGGTTTGTGTCTACAGATAACCTTCACTGCGAAAAGTAGCTCTTTTTCGTGGTGAGGAGCTCTGGATAAATTATAGGCCAAATTAACAAAACAAATATGCATTAATTTATTATTATTTATATTAAATCGAGAATTTAATTCTACTCTAAATCACGGAGAATTTATTCAAGTTTTAATTTTAAAAATCAAACTTAGCTAGTCAAAGTATCAATTTTATTTTTATGAAGCCGAGCTTTGGGAATCAAAATTTTATTTAAGTCGGCTTCGGTCCAATCATTTTCGAGAAAGCCCATTTAGTATTTCGGCCATTCAAGAGTCGAGCCCAATTTTCCGGGCCCACTTAATTGAGCCGTTATTGTAAATTTCGAGCCCATTAAACACGACCCATTACTTTTCGAAATTCGAGTCATATTATTAATTCGACCGTTCACATCTTACTCCATCATTTTTTTTTTTACAAATTTGAATCATATAATATCTTTACGACATTTTTATCTACTTCCGTTCTCTTAAGATTATTTATTGTTATTACAAATCGTAAAAATATATTGACTGATTATTTGTTTATATTAAGTGATTGTAAAATTTTATTGGATTGTAAATGTTATATAAACATATTTATTTCTTTCTATCACATAATTTTAAAATAATTTTATGTGTTGCATATGTTTGTTAATAGATATTTATGTTTCTATTTATTTATGAAGTCGGGGTGATTGCATATTAGAAACAAAAAAATATTTGAAGCGTTTATAATATGTTATTTACAAATATATTTAAGTGATTTAAACATGTCTAATCAAAAGTAGGCATTGCTTTTAAATGAGATCCTCTCTCTCTTTCTCTAAATTCCCTCTATCAACAAATTTCTTCAGTTAATCGGCTTCCCTCCTTTTTTGTGTGTCTGTTGCTGCTTATTCCGCTTTTAAGACAATGGGTTGGTGGGTGACGGGCGCCTTCTCCTCTGCGCTCTGCCTTTCTGGTCGTGGGGTGGTTCAAACGTCGGCAAGCTATTCTGCCTTAGTTCACATTTTTAGCCTTAGTCCGAATAAATTCAAGGAGATATGAGTCTGATGTTGTGCATAAGGTATATAAGAGCATCTCCAAGAGACTTATTATTTTAGACTTCTTATTTGGAGAAATAAGGAGTCATCCTATATCCATTTGCTTCCTATTTTCTGTTGTTCTCCAAGAGTCTCCCTATTTTATAATTTGAATATGAACCAGACCCACAAATCTATCTAAAAGCCCACTTGAAGCCCACTTGATATTGTAATTGTTAACGATTATAATAGTAATTAACTAATTTTATAATATTCACTAATTTTTTTTAATTATATTAGTAATTTATTATTAATTATTTTTTATAATTTTTCCTTTATTAATATAATATTATTTCTTTTTAGATTATTATTATTATTATACTAATTGTTATTATAATTTATTAATTTTTAATCAAATAAATTATTCTTTTGAACGATTTTTATTTTTTTAATTTTTTTATTTTAATTATTATTATTAGTAATTTATTATTAATTATTTGTTATATTTTTTCATGTATTAATATAATATTATTTCTTTTTAAATTATTATTATTATTATTATTATTATTTGAAATAGGGGGTCGTTTTTCCCTCCCCAGAAATGAGGAAGAGAAGCCTCTATTTGAGGTCACCCTAAAAATAGGACCAAGTTTAGGAGAACTGTTGGAGACAGTTTTTGAGAGAAAATCCCTATTTTTTAGATAAAAAAGAGAAATAGGGAGGCTCTTGGAGATGCTCTAAGGTTTGATTTGGTATAAATAATTTAAACAAACAAAAAATAAAAAATTTCATATCGATCATTGTCTTAGAAATGTTAAGCTTTGAGGTGTGATTTGCTATACTTATTACATATATTTAATCTAAATAATAAATTTTAACGTTCAAATAAATTAGCAAATAAATTAAATATCTAACTGATTAAAACTTTAAAATTTTCAATAAAAATATTTCAAGTTTTTTTAGAAGTTTTAAAAAGTTTAAAAAGACATTTAGAATTTTTAAAAAGTCCAATTCGGTCCACCCCAAATTTCTAAACTATTAATAAAAAATATTTCAAGTTTTTTTAGAAGTTTTAAAAAGTTTAAAAAGACATTTAGAATTTTTAGAAAGTCCAATTCGGTCCACCCCAAATTTTTAAACTATTAAAAAGAATATACCCAACTTTATTTCGTTTATAATCTTATTTATCCTATTATGTCCACATTCATCTCAACATTATTATCTCTGCTACTCGCATTTTTTTTTATTATTTTCATACTTTTTAACATCCTATTGATTGATTGATTGATTGATTCATTCGTACTTCAATTTACTCTTCATCCTCAACCGAGTAGAGATTCATAGATTTTAGATTTACCAAAAAATTTATATAATCCAGTTCCATCATACAATTTCAATCTCATAATTCCAACAATTAGATTTACACCATTCAACATGTCAAGTCTTTAAGAGTGTGATTGAATATGGATTTGATTAGTTTTCTATTGGCTTTTATTGTTTATCATAGTTAATTTTTATAAATGTAATATGATTAAATACTGTTTGTGAGTATTTAAGATTAAG